TCGACCTGCTGGGCTCCGGCGATCCTTCCGCCTCAACCTTCTGAGTAGCCAGAATTACAGGCATATGGTACCATGCCCGGCTGATTTTTTTGATTTATTGTAGAGATGAGGTCTCACCAAGTTGCCCAGGTGGGTCTCGAACCCGCAGGCTCAGGCAATCCACTCACCTCAGCCTCCCAAAACGCGGGATTACAGGCTGAGCCACCGAGCCCAGCTGCCACATTCTTGTTAAGCTACGTGTGACACATTCTCACTTATTAGCCCCGAATTTATGTAGGGAAATAGAAAAGGACTTTGGGCACTCATCTCTGACATGTGGGGGAGATGGCACTAAAAAGTTGTAGTTGTTTCACATTGGGTGACACCAGATCCCCAGTAGCCCAATGGTCAGCTCCTTCCTGCCACCCCTGGGGCAAGAGTGGATCCCAGCCTGACAAATGTCCTGTACACCAGCCTCCTGGCCAGGTGCCTCCAGTAAGTCTCTCCCTCCCCTCCCCTCCCCCCAGACTGACTTGTCACCGCAGTGCAGTCGGCACCAGCCAGCACCATCTGACCACCAGTGGGCGGGGCAAGGGGAGGAAGGTGGGAAGGAAAACCCAGTTCTGTTCCCTCTTCTCAGCCTGTCCTTTCCTCCTCCCACCTCTGGGAAGGTTTCCCTTGTTTCCAGAGACTCCTCCCTCTCAGACAGACAGAGGCAGAGTCCCATGGAAGGAAGGGCACCCTGGGGGGGGGGAGAGGGTCGAAGTAGCATCTTCTCCTTTCCTGACCTTCCAAGTCCTCATCAGTAGAAAGCCCTACCCCGACTGAAAACCACAGGGCCACTCTCAGTGGCTCGGACCAGCAGCTCAAAAGGCAGACTTCCTTTTTTTTGAGTTGGAGTCTCACTCTGTCACCCAGACTGGAGTGCAGTGGACGCTCCCGGCCACCGCAGCCTCGACCTGCTGGGCTCCGGTGACCCTTTGGCCTCAGCCTTCCGAGTAGCCGGAATTACAGGCGTGCGCTACCACGCCCGGCTGATTTTTTTATTTATTGTAGAGATGAGGTCTCGCTGCCCAGGCAGGTCTCGAACCTGCGGGATCAGGCCATCTACTCACCACAGCCTCCCAAAGGCGCGGGATTACGGGCTGAGCCACCGAGCCCGGCTCCAAAAGGCAGACTTCTAATTCCCTTCAATGGGGCCATAGCAGCAAAAATAAATACAAACTTGAAAATGTTCCTGACATCCAGATTTAGAATCTGGAAAATGTGGCGAGAAATGCCCCCACGGAAACACCATTGGGCGTGGGGATTAGGTTCCACAGAACTCAAGTTCCATACTTCGCAATTTTCTGAAGTAAAAAGCTGTTTTAGGGGTTGGTTTGGGAAAACTGGTCCCTATGAGCACTGCTTTTATGGGTCATCTTTTCAAAATCCCAATCTCAGAACTGATTTTAAATGGAACTTATCATGACTCAAATCCCTGGGGTCTGCTGAGCTTGCTTCTGAGTTGAATGAAAAATATCAAGCAAGCTGCAGCATTCAAGCACATCACATACGGCAGAGTTGTGTACTCCTTTGTCTTTGAATTAAAAAAACAACAGGAAAACCATAGGACCACAGGGCACCTCCCACGCACCTCTCCATGTGGCATCATTTTTTTCAGAGTCCTGATTGTTAATAATTTCCAAAAGTGGATTTATCTCCATGTCATTGCTATCATGGCTACTAAAGCTTTTCGTGCCTTTATAGTTTTGTTTTAATTCCTATTATAATTGCATGGGAAGTACCAGGGTAGAAGGAATTTTTTTTTTTAAGTGGAGGAGTTGATATACATGTGTTGGTTTTTTAAAAAATTATTATTATTTTGAGTCAGGGTGTCACTCTGTTGCCCAGGCTGGAGTGCAGCGGCACGATCACAACAATCACGGCCACTGCAACCTCGATCTCCTGGACTCAAGCAATCCTTCGGCCTCAGCCTTCCTAGCCTCAGCCTTCTAGCTGGGACTATAGGCACTTGCCACCAGGCCTGGCTAATTTTTTTTTTTTTTTTTTTGAGCTGGAGTCTTACTCTGTGGCCTTGACTGGAGTGCAGTGGCCGTTGTGCTATTTTGACTCTACCATTACTTACATATATTGACATTTACAACAATTGGCATTTGCCGCATAACAATTCTTCCTTATTAGGAGCATGCTATTGGCAGAGAGAAATGCAACCAAAAGATTTTTTAAAGTTCTTTCAGACTCTAGACTTTGCCTAAATGTGGGATGCCTTGTATCTATGTTGTATACAGAAATACCAAACAGTAACTCCCAACTGAAATACAGGCATAAGACATTGTGTAATAAATCAAGGCAGTTTTCTTTAAAGTTTGTTTATGGCAAATAAGTACTATAATTGCATAAACATGCCAACACTTCACAAAGCCTAGAGTAA